TGCTACCCCCGCGACCCGACCTCGGATAAGCGGATGAAGATGGATGGATGAAAAATCTGAACTAAAGCATATTTTTAAAGGGGTTATATGCTAAAAAATAAAAACAATTGGAGGAAAAAATTGACTTACTTTTTCTGTGTTCCAGCTTATTCACTTTGACACACATCTGCTGCAATATTTACACCTCTGATGAAATCTCACAAGTGTTAGTTTACTTTAATACATTATTTTAAAACATTGTTTACACAGTGTTTGTTTTTGCAGAGAAATACTCCATTCATTTTGGGCATGTCATGTTCGAGCATGGAGCTCAGAAAGCCCTTTTGGTAGTAACAGATTAAGAAAACCTATTTCCTTTAGCCAGAACACTGACGATGGATCTTAAATCGGCCTTCAATACAACAAAGGAGTGGCTAATGAAAAACTGAGGTCATGGAATGGCCTAGCTAGTCTCAATCTTACTGCTATGTATCCTGATATGTATGCAAACCTGGTAACAAGAAATGTTTCACAGATGTGCTTGCTAACAAGGGTTTCTCCACCAAATACTAAGCCATGTTTTGCTTAATGATCAAATACTAATTTCACTCAATGACTTGTAAATCAATTTATAACTGTTATATAATCTGTTTTTTTATTTGGTTGATATTCTGTCTGTTATAATTAGAGACTGTTATTTTTTCTTAAATGTGTAATATCTATTCAACTATTTGCTGGCAAGTGTTGGTGTAGAAAAAGGTGAACCTAATTCAGAACAGGAAACAGGTGTAAGGCACCATAGTGGTACTTTAATTCAGCTTGCAAGGCTTACATTTTAATAGATTAGCAAAGAATTATGTGCAGCTGCTTTAGACTTTCATTTAGCTAGAGTCATGAAGATGTAGCTGCAAATACAAGAAGAGAGGGAATGTTCAGCACGAAATGCTGTTGTTACCGCAGAACCTTCCAAGTTGTCCAACGTGATTGGAACAACCTTAACAGTTTGAGGTTTGAAGCCTTGATTATATCCTTCTGTTGCAGACATTGAGACAGTTATAGATAGATAGATATACAGACAGATATGATGGCCAAGTAATCATTCCTGGTATACGTCTTTGAAATCTGCTTAGTCTGTAGTCCTTTCCACCTTTACTGACAGCTTGGTCAGCACTGTTCCCTGTGAGCTTTGGACTCAGACTTTGTCCCTGATTTTGTTTAGAAATTTCCTGGAGAGAATTTCAAGATGAAACTGAAAGGCAGTGGATTTGACTCTTAGTGGTCTCAGCAGTCTATTGGGGGAGACTGCATCATAGTGTACCTATGATGACTTTGGTCTCAGGGTTAACAACTATATGCAGATTAGTCAATGAGAAGTGATTTGAGTTCAATTTTATGAAATAGCTGATTGAACCACTGCAATTTTGAAAGCATCCTTACAAGGGCTTTAAAAATTTTGCACATTGCTGCATAGCATTACCTTTTCATTATTTAAATTATTTTATATAGTCTTTGTTGTTACACCTTATTTATCTTTATTTGGGTTTCTCTCGTTTGTCATGAAGACAAAAATGTTTCCTAAGTCCAGCACATTTCTGAACCTGCTACATAGTGTTTATTTACAATTCATTATATTGCAGTATAAAGCCTATGTGTTTTAATTCGTTTACTCTAGTCATTTTAAAATAACTTTAATTGTGTAGGCAATGTAATGCAGGCTTCTTTCTTAGATTTTACTTAATAAAACATCATGGATTAAATGTTTAGAGGATGGACAACATTTTGGTTTGGGTTACTTAGCACTTGACTGTCTGCAATCCATGGCTAGTGGCACAAATCTTAGATGCTACTAGTGTCTGTCCTTCTACAGATTTGGGTTCCTGCAAGCCTGCACCAGTTCTCACTGTTTTCAGCAACCTATTAAAAACAGCTCAAGGACAAAATCCTGCCTTGACGAACACCATGTAAAACAGCACGTGTATTTGAGGTCTAGTAGTATGACTTTACTGCACAGCTAATTAGAATTTCAATTAGACTTTTTTTTAATCGTAAGTCCCCACAGAGCTGTTCTTTTAGAAAAATGGTAGAGCAAAACTTCTAGCTGGAAATGTGCAGTGAGCTCTTTATTCAGCTCTAACAGAGAAATAAAAGCCTTAGGAGAAAACAAGACTTGTCATTTAAATGTGTCAGTGTGGGAGGATGTCTCTGTGAGCCATTTGAGCCATTTAGTATGTATGTATTTATAAATCTTTACTCTGGTATGCTGTTACTTTGCAGGTTGCTAAACTTTTTTTTTAAATTATATAACACAACGAATCAACAAAAACATTCTCTGTGTTGACAGAGTGCTGACTCACTACTATTTAGGATATGTAACTTGTACTTTGCTCTTCTGTTTGCTCATTGCTTATTGTGGGTGTGGAAGTCTTGAGAACCAATAAAAAAAAGATCAGGCAAATAAAGAGCATCTCTCAAGGCTCTCGGTATATATCAACAGTGCTGTATCTTTATGACAAGTTACATGTTTGGCTCCTTTTAAGAGTGGTTTAAGAAATCACTGACATACAATTAAAAACAGCACTTTAAATAAATATTTTATTTGAAAATAAATACATTTTCTTCAAATATAATCAATAACATTACAAAAGCTTTGTGGAAGTGGGAAAGGAGGAGGATGAGGAGAATGTGTGAGGGAGGGTAGGCGGGTGGGTTGTCACCCAAATTAATGGTGTGTAATTTGGAATAAGGATTACAATCTCACATGTTTATCTACCATTGTAAGACAAGCTCCCACAAAGTACTGTGCTGTACATTCTCAGCTGCTTTGTGAGAAAGCAGTGGCATTCCTCTTGCATCCTTCAACACATGCAGTCCACTTGGTCTTAAAGCTTCAGGCCCTGCACCCAAAAACATCTACACACTTTTTCGCTAAACAAACAAATAAACAAAAAAAGTAGGATATAATCTCTTGTCAATACATCAAAATCAGCCACTGACTTACATTTATTTCTGACAATGCTTTTTTAAACATTTTTTTGAAAGTACCTTAAATGTATCTAGATCAGCTTCAGCTCTAGTCTACAGTACAAAGATACAATACACAAAAAGGCTGCGCTTGTTGATACAGCGGTAATCAGAGGCCACTGTCTTGCTAAGGCCAGAAGAATTTCCACCTTAACTATGAGGTTGTGAGTGTGTCTGCAATTCTGGCAGGGAGAAAGTGAAGCAGAGTGCTGGCACTTATTCTGTCTTTACAACAGCATTTCAATGCCCATTGTTGGACTCAAGAGCTTCAAGATGGCAGATCTCCAGTGAGACGCAGGAATCGCAGCACAGGTGTGTTGGAACAGATTAACACAGTGTCGCCCTGGCTCTTCCGACAGTTCCACAAAGAGCACAGAAAGTTATCATGCATCCAACCTGCTGTGGAAAGGCTTCACCCTTGACCAAAAACCTAATTACTTTTAGAAAAAGTCATCATATATGTCCATTTTATAATTACTGAGTCACTAGAGAATGCACAAGCTGATCTCAGTAAAGACAAGCATGTGAGAACATGTAATTCAAATCCTGTCAGTAGAAACACAGCAGAACAAGCTCATTTATGGCAAAAAACATCAGCTTTGCTACTTGTTTGCTCTTCCAGTCTAATGAAATCAATGCCACAGGTAGTGACAGATTTAAATAATGATTAAACTAAGTGCTGCACAGAGTGCTGTGTCCACGCATTGTGTCCACAGGCCAAAATCTCTCTCTCTATCATTCCCTCTCTCTGCGCAGTCTCCTGATCGGTTTACCAACCGATGACTTTTGGGATGAGGATGCCCTTCGGTGGGATTTAAATACCTTATTCCACAAACGTACACACTAAGCACACAAAGACTGCAATCAAATGCATTTTTTAAAAATCCTGTTTTGGAAAACAAATTTAAGCATTAGCTATGCCACCAGTAACTGATTTTGTTGTGGACCTAACTTTCCTTAACATTTTAAATAGGCCATAATTATGCAGTTTTTGAGATGCTAAGAGGGCATTCACCGTGCATCTGTTCTTGCAGTTCCATACAGCAGTAACCTGTCTTGTAACACATATATGAATGTCAGACATGGAGTGGTGAGACTTTGATGCACAAATAAAAGCTTTGTTAAAGCCAAGACTCAAGGAAATGTGCTACTTTGCCAATGTTTCAATCATAGTTACTTAGCAGGAAACAGATGCAATGCAGATTTCACCTAGTCAGTCAGTTAAATGACTGAAATAATGAAATAATCAATGTAGCACATTTTACCCACAAAAGAAACTAAAATGTGCCACTCTGGAATGATGCACGACTTCATTTCCCTGCTCTTCAAGGAAATGTCATCTTTTGAAGAAAGTCAGTTTTGAAGAGCCAGCCTTCAATATGCACACAAAAATCCTTACTTCCTCATATAAGCAAATTCAGAGAACTACCTTTTTATAAATTTGTATGATCTATAGTCTGCTACTAGTTAAAATTGTCATCAGAGATAAAACACTTTAAAAGATTAAACCAAATCTGGTGGACCCAGAATGACAGTCTTTTAGGTCAGCTTTTCTCATTGTGTTTGTTAAATTTACAATTGTCCAAAAGCCTTGGCACTGTAGGCACATGTGCTGTGGGCCAGATGGGTACAGACGGAGCCCGCTGCATCAGGATGCCCCATTTTGGCCAAAGGCAGCGGATCTTGCTGGCACCGTCTCAAAGCAGAGAAACCTGGTGTTTTTTCTGCGTTTTTGCCCATTACAGTTCTTCAACAACTCACAATACAGAAATACCCAAACAGAACAGGGGGATTGTCTCCTCTCGCTGTGCTACTGTGGCCATTCAGTCATTCTTTGGGCTGTTGAATCTAAACAAACCAAACACTTTTCAACTAAATTCCTCAACAGCTCACTGTGCTCGGCTGCTGTTTGCACACAAAGTCTGATATGAAGTCAAACTCATTCTGTCCCAGGAAGAGCTCAGGAAGCTCCTGAATGCGATCTAAACCAAATTCCAGTACCAGTGAAGTCAGAACCTCCTCATCGATCAGATCCATGTCCATACCATTCAGCCCCAAAGGCCCACTAATGTGTTGCATGCTGGAAAGCTGGCCCGGGCCCATCCGGTACTGTGGACCATTTGGCAGATGGTGACCATTAGTTGAGCTCAGCGGGTGTCCGTGATACTGAGTGTTGAGTTTTTGCAGGTGCATGCTGGCCATGAGCTGCTGCGAAGTGAGATTCCCAGGGAGGTACTGCTGTGGGTGTCCTCCCTGCTGCTGCTGCTGCTGCTGCTGCTGAGAGTGCAAGTGGTGGTGCTGTTGCTGTTGCTGTGGACACTGGCCATTGTACATCATGTTACCAGACATCATTTGGTGGTGGTGGTGGTTGGCCATGGGAGCTCCATTCACAGGGACCATCCCTCCAGGTCCCACCATACCCGGTCTCTGTCTCATGGCAGCTTCCATATTGCTCTGAGGGTTCCTGCCATAGTGCATTACCTGGCCATTGGGCAGACTGCGCTGGCAGTTGTGCTGTGGTGGCCCATTCATGCCCATCCTGAAGCCATGGTTCATGGGCATCATCATGTGTTCAGCCATGTCGCCCTACAAAACCATTAACAACCAGCACAATATACCATTAGATTTGAAATAGAACCCATTGCATAAAGTAGACAAGTTTAAATATGTACAGTTTAAACTGGCAAGAACCCACTTTACATATTGCAAAAGTTCTATTTATTCATAAGGACAAGTGAGAAACCAGCTTTTTAAGGGCTTTCTAGAATAACAAAATAAGGAATAACTCAAGGAAAACTCAAGCAGTTTTTTTTGATTGCCAAGATAGCTAATGCTAAAGTTGTTAACGTTCATCAATGCCACTTTTCAATTAAATTTAACAGTTTGAACATCTTCCAATGATCTAATATTTGGCAAAGGAAATAAATCAATTGTATTTGGTACAATTCACCAAAAACTGTTGCCAACAGGTTTATTTTGGGCTGGATATAAAAACTTTAAAAACCTGCATTACAAACAAAAGTTGTGTGGAAGATCTGGAATGCTGTATGTATTATACCAGCTTATCTAAGTAATTGTGCATCTTATCTAAACCTCCATTTTTGCATTTTCCATGTTATTTTATCTCATGTAGTATCACCATTGCATGTAATAATTTAGACACATGAAATGTTCCTGGAGCTCCAGCTATTCACATATGATTCCCATGTTTATAAAAATATTTTTAGAGCAAAATAACAATTTAAGCCTGCAGCTATATCCAACTTGATCCTAAAAAGTATGTGTATGCATATACAACAGTATATAAAAACATGCTGACCAAGCACCATATTTTAACCCAATTGTGCTGTAAATCTATTGTATAGGTCCCTACAGTTTTTTCAAATAACACCTATAAACACATCTATATGTTAGCATGTATAAATTAAGACAGCTGAAATCTCAGTTACCAGTTAGAGGCACAGAAACACACAAAAACTGACTGCAGATGATGGAAAAACTACAATTCAGTGACCAAGTTGGGGTATCTTGATCTTAGCAGATCAGGTGAGACCATTTTACTGTCACGCCTCTCTTCAGGGGCTTATGATTTAGCAAAGGTGTGACACTGCATCACTTAATTCAAGTCCCTTGAAACAACAAAACAAAAAACCAAACATAATTGGTTCAAAACTTATTTTTCCTCAGCTTCTATGATTTCTGCTTCTCTATTTGAACACTTTAATTTCCTGTGTGGAAAAAAAAAAGAAAAGTCAAAGCCTCCAAAATTACACCATCAGTGAATTACCCCTCAGTCTCACACTAACAAGGGAGGGCAGCAATACCCTTGCAGCCCAAAGGACACAGAGAAATGCTTTTTAAGACCACCCCCTCAACCTCAACACACAACACCTCTGTCCTTACTAAACATCTCACATTAAGATTTCCTACATGGCAAACAGATCCGACTCAGTGAACATAATTAGCTTGTTAAAATGATGACATTATTCCATGAGCTGCCTCTAAATGGGATGGTTGTGAAAAAAGGTCTAGAGCAAACCATGCTCTAGAATGCTTGAATGTGGAAAAACAAAGAGGTTTCAGGTTTTTAAAATACCACCATCCTAGAATGAACTCAGCCTTTGCCCCTGGCTGCTTGTATCAATTCAACCCTTTTAGTGCTGATAAAACAAGAGACTTTCCTCAATAGCCTAAACCATCCTTATAATATTCTGCTCTTGTGATATCTAATTATATCCCCTCTGTGGAGCTTATGTACTGATCGTTATTGTAATTCAAATGGCACTTTGATAGTCTGAGGGAGGGTAATAGTCATTATTACAGAAGCACGAAACCTCTTTTTTATCCACATCGTTACGGATTCTTTTTATCATTTGGTGCGATAAGACCGCAACAGAAAACCTATAATGCCGTTAAAGTAAGTGGCAAGGTGAAATATGATTGATTCCGTCCGAATCCAACCAGTCTCTCTATGTGTAATTATGTAGCGAAATACGAAAATACTCCACAGGACAAAGGCGAAGAGGTGCCTTTCAACCTGTTTTAAATAGCACCCGAAGATGACACCTACCCGATATTTTATTGTGGAATCGGCTGAGAAGTTGGATCAGTGCCGGCGTAGTTCCTTCAGCTGATGCTCCGGCTACATGCAGCCCTGCGGCGAACTCTGCAATGTCTCGGCAGTCAGAGGAGTTTGTTTTCTGGGTCATCTCAGGGATTATGTACATCTATAAAGCACAGAGAGAGCGAGAGAGAGATAGGGAGAGGAGGAGCCACCTTCCTCTCCGTCTCCTTTGTTGCTATTGGTCCGCCCCCTTAATCACTGTGCAAAGAAACGTTCGCTAACTACTTCCACGGATACACCAGAGCAGAAGAGACCCGCTCAGCCCCGCTGTGATCCCGGGGTGATTTCACTGCCGCCTGCTTTCATTACACTTATACTTTTATTAGCAATGATCCATACTCTCTTAACTGGAAGAGTTCTGTGCAAAGCGCATCGGTAAAAACTGTAGGCAAAGCAAAGCCCCACAGCTGTAGAGGAAATCATTTGAGCAAGGTGTTTTACAGCATTACTCCAGAATAGTTCTGTACTGTAAAGTCCACTATAAAGTTTCATTATAGAGCACTTTTAAAAAAGTGTTTACAGGGGAAAGAAACAGTAAATAAATGCGCTGTTCATAGAATAGGAGAACAGGAAAAAAAACAACTAACCTGCTGAAAATTACAATTACAAAACAGACAAAGAGCAAACTGCTAGAAGGAAATGTTAAAACGGGCTATTACAAAAGGGACGGGGATTTAGAGTAAATTCCAACAAATTACTATTAAATTCCATTGTGTAACTTGTAGCTTGTAGATAAGCTTACAGACCTTTAGTCATTTCATCTCTCTGGTGCTAGGGCTGCTTTCCCATTGTGTGGCTTTCTCTTGCAACCTTTGATGATGCTTCTGGTTTTTTCATTACCATGGCCACTTTACATTCTGTAGTATTTTCCATAAGCAACCAACCCTCTGCTTCCTGGTCACACTGCCAGTCTACAACAATGGCCAATATGATATACGTTAATGGACACAGTAGCATAAACCAAACCCAGGCTCTGAAACCGCTAACATCTTAATCTAGACAGTTTTTAAAAAACAAAACAAAAACAGATCCACCATACTAGCGAGGGTCCTCTATGCTTTTCAGTTTCTTGTGACTACACTAACTATGTATGCCATTTAGGCACACTTCAAAAAAAAGACTAACTACTTATCTGCGGTGTCTATGCAGTTATCTGTTTTCCTGTGCACAACCAAGTATAATACTCCTCTAAATCAGTCTAAACTTCATGTAGGCTTTTCAGCTAGGACTGTGAAAGTTCTGCTTCCTTTGTTTTTAAGTGTAGGCATATGACAAGTTCACACTGCACTGCACAAGAAGGTCACCCTGGCACGTTCTTTCATGGACCTGGCCAAGCTTAAAGGAAGACTTGACTTTAGTCACCAACCAGTTGTAGCTTGCCTGCCAGTTGTCATTGGCAACCTATGTGATGTCATCTTTAATGACGTGTCATTAAAGACTACCTAAAACAGGAATGTAAACAAACAATGGCTGGGATGATACTGGCTGTCGTGTGTATGTAAAATAAAGAAAGCTAAAGCAACCACATAAGTCTATTTAGCTGGCTGTTGAGAAGCGTTCTAAAATAAGGATGTAGTTACTTTACACCGATACAAATTGCACTGATAATGCAATGATACAGTTGGTGATTTCTTTTTTGATTTTACATTTCATTTTCCTGTTTCCATGTTGTTATTGTGGAGTCTAAACATAGCATTAGGAATAGTCAGAAGAGCTACATTTATGAACTACATGGAACAGGCTACTACGCCTAGGGTTAAAAGTTTTAATGCCTTGGGCCAACCCCATTGTGGACTTTATAAATAAAACATCAAAAGTACAGAGATGTTTGAAAAGTTGCAATATGTTTTTGTTTTTAGCACCTTTTACATTATTTTTAAAGTAAATGACTACTGACGCTATTTAAAGATATCTACAAAAAATGGAATGTATGGATGTATGCCCTGAAACGATCCTTTTTTCTATGAAGGTGTCGGGTAACAGCGAAGGTAAAAATGGCAACACTCATACAACCACAAGAACCTCCACATAGCACCTTTTAATAATAATACCTGCACTTGCCACAGCCAGCAGAAGAAATGTCTTTGTGGTAGCTGTGCAGAGGTTTGTACAGATCGCTGAAATGGACTGGTAACCAGCATAAGCTGTTAAAAGACCCTAATGTGCCACCTTAACAGGCAATTTCAGAACTGTGTTGAGCTCTAAAACCACACTGAAATCTTTCACGCACACATTTATACTCATGTTCTATATAGAGAGATTTTTCACTACAAAATTAAAGGTTAGCAAGTAGAATTTAGGCATCATTAAAACAGTTGGGACATGGAGCACTTTTTATTATTGTTACTGTTATTGCAAATACAGCACCAGTTCCTGCAACTGCAAATTTTCCCAGTTTTGCTGTTCCTAGACTTATTAGCTTCAGGAAATAATATTACCTAAAGCCATAATCAGTGCATTTTTGTCCTGAGCATATAGGTATGAGAATAATGTAAGGGTACATGTACAATAATAACTATGAAATAAAATCACTGGTCCGTATCCATGAGGAAATTGTACACCGTTCAAACTGTATACCCCTCACAGACATTATAATATAATTTGCCTTATACATAATATAAGATAAATACATTTTATTTTTAGGAGACAGTGTTGCACTAAACTACTAACAGACAAAGACAAAAAAATTACGCATTAACTTCACAGTGAAATATCTAGGTACTTATGTCAAAACTTCAAAGTAAAATTCAGAAAATCCTTTGTGTTCTGAAATCAATCCACCTCCATCCTGTTCCAAAGCCAGCTCACACCAGCTAGTTCTTTTGTTTTTGGGCTGTCTTCCTGTGTGGGGAAAGTTAGGCCCCCTCAGCAGGAGCTTGGTATGTATTCCTGTTGACATACACACACACCCTTTGCAGTAGAGGAATGTGTCCTATTTTTGGGCCCCTAAAGTCATCCAGACTCCCAGCCTCTTTGTAATCCTCTTTTCACTTGACCATTGTGTTTATTGTCTGGGAGAACACTGTATGATTTGGTCTGCAGCCACAGGCTCTTCACTTTATTTAGGAGATGTTGATTTCAGTGAGTACAACTGGTTATTTTGATGAATACAACTACAACTGTGGTTCTTTAGGGTGCAGACTTCCAGAGATTCAATTACTGAATACTTTTCTTTTGTCAGTACTTTGTGCCTCTCTCACTTGAATTATTGCCCTTTATTTAATTCTGTTATAACTTACTTTTAAATAAGTAAGTTAATTAAAATAGCATTATGCATAAATGCATAAATGTAACGAGTTAATAATTTACAATAATAGATAGATGTTTTGTCTGGAAATGTATTTGCACTCTATGTATCTGTACCCATATGTAATTCATTTTATTTCATATTTTACTATTGAGAAGCACTTTGGAGTACCTCTGGTCTTTTAAATGTGCTATACAAATAAAGTATTGATTGACTGATTGACTGACTGATTGATTGATTGATTGATTGATTGATGTAGTTCCCGTATAGCTAAAATTCATTTTCTATTATATTTTGAAGGAAACATGTTTTACTGTAGTCACATAATCTAGAATTCAAAAGATGAGTGCATTCTGGAAACCTCTCAAGAGTTCAGCCAAGGAAAAGAGTCTTCAACACTTATATCAAACCATTATTTTAAATTAATTTCATATTATTTGGCCAGCAGTCCCAATCCATCCAGTATATGATTATTATCCGAATAATAACTGGAAAGAAAGAAACTAAATAATAGAGATATGTTCATTACAAAGTGTTTTTGAAACAGCACAAACATAGTCTCAGACGAAATATATTTTCTTCAAAATTAAATTTTGTGTGCTGTATAAGAACAGACTTTTAGAGAGAGAGAAGAATATAAGCCAAGACTGCATAATTCACATATATGGACAGCTGATATAAAGTTATATTTTGTAACTTTTACACATCTATCTTGATAGAGAGATAGAATAGATAGCTATATAGATTGGATTATTTTATCTTTTGACATAGCCAAGCTGGCTTTTTCCTCTTTTATCCAGCCTTTAATAAAGAAAAATAAATCCACCCAAAGTCACTTCTAAATCACACTTATTACAACTTTCTCAGCTAGGAAGAGTGAATTCTTGCTCATTATGTGGCTACTAAACTGGGGAGAATCACTCTATTTAGTCAATAAATTATCCAATACCTGTGCAAAATAGCAAGTGTTAATTTTAAGATTTTTTAAAAATGGAAAATTAAGTGGAATGAGTGGGATTTACAAATGCTGGCAGCTTTGTTACATTTGTATGGAGGCAGATTAGCCGTGTCCTCATGTTAATGTTGCTAAGCCAAACTTCATGGTTCCTAAGGAATCTTAAAAAACAACCTCTGAGCACCTACTCTGCCTCCCAAGCCAATGCATAACTATACTGATGTGAAAAGGAAAGTTTTCACAGGACTCAATGTAGTCCAGTGAAAAAGTACGTTCTACAATAGCTTGGAGAGCCACCTTTAACTTGAAGTTATCTGACTTTATCAGTCTCACTTATCAATGTTTTGGCACAGTTCATTGAGGTTTGCAATTATTTATTTTTGGACAGCTCTATTAAATAATTCCTCATAATTTTAGTCAGTCTGAAGATTTGGACTTTGACTGGGGCCATTGTAACAGCTTGATTCTTTTCTGTTTAGTTATTCTGTTGTAGATTTGCTGGTGTGCGTGGCTTCACTGTCCTTTTAAATAACGCAGGTTCGACCAAGTTTCAGCTGCTGTCATCTCAGTAGTATATTAAACTACAGATTTTGTGTTACCAGTAATAGAGTTAAACACAAACATTTGAACATGCCTGATTACTATGCTATCTGTCCATTCAGTGAACAGTTTTGCCGAAGCATTCTTCTCGGTTGTAGACACACAGTGTTGGGAAGGTTACTTCGTATTCCGTTACGTTACTCAATGAGAGTAACGTATTCTGAATACTGGATTACTTAATATATCATCATGCTTTTTACAACTACATGAATGTACTATTGCTGTGTGATTTATTACTATTACTGAAGGTTACTCGCCATAGCAATACAAACTGGATTTTTAAATCGTAATATAAAATGAGTAACAGTAGGGTGG